GGTGCTGCAGGATGGCATCCCTGGGTGAGGCCAGGAAGGTCTGATCCCAGGAGAGAGCAGGGCAGAGGGGTGGCCAAACCAGGGGCAGGCATCTTGGGTGCGTGTGGATGCGTGTGTGTGGATTTTGTAAAGAATTCTTGCCAATAAAACCAAAAACTGTTGGGGACTGTCAGTGTGTCTCACTCTGGGATGGAAAGAGAGCCAGTTGGCAGTGGGAGGTGGCCTTGAAAGGACCTTAGCTTTTCCTCTGAGCTGGAAGCCACTGGAAGGTTTTGAGTAGTGGTGGGACAAGGTCAGATGTAAGTTCTTAACAGGATCCCTCCGGGTGCAAAGCCGAGAATAGGCCACAGGGGGGCAAGGACAGAAGCAAGTTTTAAGCTGTTGCTATCATCCTGGTCAGAGAGGACAGACACTTGTCCTGGAATTCCTCTCTCCATGGCCAGGAAAAGGTTCAGAAAGGCTTACCATCCTCCAAGCTGGAAGAGGGCAGAGCCGAGCCAAGGAGTAGAAGGGACAGGGCCCTCCGTTGGAACCATCCAGAAGGAGAACAGGCTGCCACTGGGGGTGGTGACCTCCCCATTAGGCGAGATGTGCAAGCGGGGGCGGGGGATGGCCACTTGGTCGGGATGTCTTAGAAGGAACTAATACTTCAGATGGGGAATTGGGGTGAGTGGCCCCAGTATTTCATTGATTCTTTTATTGAGCCATTGAACAAATCTTTTCTGAGGGCCCGCCGGGGACCAGGCAATGGTCTTGGTGCTGGGGATTCTGTTCGCTGCTGGATCCCTCTCCTCATTGGGCTGATTCAAGCCTCTCACATCTCAGGACTTCTGCAGATGCTTCCGTGGCCATTGACTTCCCCTCATTTGTGTGGAATCACAACACAGATAACAATACTAACTACACACTCATCTAATGTTTACTCTATGCCAAGCACTATTTTAAGCACTTTATGTATGTATGTGAACTCACTTATTATATATTAACATCTACCTCTAAGGGCCGGTTGTGAGGATTTCAGGGTAAATATATATAAAGTACTTACAACGGTGACTGGCTTATAGCACTATATAAGAGTCATCGCGGGGCACCTGAGCGGCTCAGTCGGTTAAGCGTCTGCCTTCGGCTCAGGTCATGATCCCAGGGTCCTGGGATCGAGCCCCACATCGGGCTCCCTGCTCTGTGGAGAGCCTGCCTCTCCGTCTCCCTCTGCCTGCCTCTCTGCCTGCTTGTGCTATCCATCAAATAAATAAAATATTTTTTAAAAAAAGTTAGCGTAATTATTTATATTCCCCATTTCACAGATGAAAAGTTGAGGCACGGAGAGGTTAACTAGCCCAGGGCTGCTTGGTTACTGTCTGACTCTAGTCTCTGCTTTTACCCAGCTCTCCCTACGGTGCAGGGAACAGGTGCACCCAGGCCTGGAGGGCTATCGGTTGCTGCAGACAAAGGTTTGAAGTGGCTGAGAGGTAAAATCCGAACGGTGCGCTCCGCTGTTTTTCCCCCACACACACCCTCCCAGGAAAGTCCCCATAAGACATCCCCTAGACCCCCCTTGACCCTGTGTCCCCCCACTAGATGCTACTTTCCCTTGAGAGGGCTATCTACACTTGCTCTCCCTCTCTCCTCCCCTCCCACTCACCCCGTCTTTGGTCTCCTCCTCCCCACTTCCACCCCAGCCTCACCCCTACATTGATTCGCTGTTACTAAGGTCACTTGACTCCCTCATTGCCAAATCCAAATTTTCAGTGCTCTTCCTGCCTTCCCCTGGGCCCTTGGATCTCATTTTTTTAAAAGATTTTTTTTCTTTTATTCATTTGAGACACAGAGATACAGAGAGAGAGAGAGAGAGAGAGAGAGAGCATGAGCAGGGAGAGAGGCAGAGGGAGAAGCAGGCTCCCTGCTGAGCCAGGAGCCCGATATGGGGCTCGATGTGGGGCTCGATCCCAGGACCCTGGGATCATGACCTGAGCCGAAGGCAGACACTTAACCTTCTGAGCCACCCAGGTGCCCCGGATCTCTTTTTTTTTTTTTTTAAGATTTTTTCTGAGAGAGAGCGAGCACGAGCGGAGGGACAGCAGGAGAGGGAGCAGCAGCCCCCCTCCCCCCCCCACTGAGCAGGGAGCCTGGCTAGGGGCTCAGTCCCAGGACCCTGGCATTATGACCTGAGCCGAAGGCCGACGCCTAACCGACTGAGCCACCCAGGCGCCCCAGCTTGGACCTCATTCTAGAACCACCCTTTCTTCATGAATCCAGAATTCTCTCAAGGCTCTCCCTCCTCCCTGACAGTGCCTTCCCAGGGCCTGCTGTGGGAGCCTCTTCTTCCGCCTGGCCCTTCCTGGCCCACTTCCTTCTCACTTTGTGGCAAGCCCCGGGTAACAGCATTCCCTTTGGTCTCTCTGCCAAGGATCCACTCTTCTGTATCTGCCCTGCTTTGCCCCTGGAGCTACAAAAGCACATATCCAACTGCCACCCTAACCCCTCCCTTCTGGATGTTTCACAGCTCCCTTTACCTCGAAAGAACCAAAACAGAACTCATCATTTTTTTTTTTTAAGATTTTATTTGACAGTGAGAGAGAGAGAGAGAGAGAGAGCGCACAAGCAGGGGGAGCAGCAGACAGAGGGAGAAACAGGCTTCCCGTGGAGTAGGGAGCCCGATGCGGGGCTCAATCCCAGAACCCCGGGATCATGACCTGAACTAAAGGCAGACGCTTAACAACTGAGCCACCCAGGCACCCCTAAATTGGTGGATCTTAAACCGTACTATGCATCAGAATCACTTAGCTAGTGGGGCTTTTTAAAATACAGATTGCCGGGGGACACAACCTCCAGGTTTCTGAGTCAACAGGTCTGGGATGGAGTCTAAGAATTTACATTTACAATGATGCTGGGCCGCGGCCCATACAGCCAAATCTCACTGCCCCTGAAAACCCATCAGTAGAGCTCCCAGTAGAGCTCCTTCCCTGGTCTGCCCAGCTTTCCCAAATCCTGCTTTGTGTCATTGGTTGTCCTTCCACAAGCTAACCTTGGCTTCTAACTGTGACACTTGAGGGTAAGAGCCAGGCCTTATCACCACCGAGTGAGGAGGTAGGAGGAGCATGGGTCCTGGAGTGTAGTGGACCCCAGTTTACCACCCACCCCAATGAGTTGTATCTCTTGCTTCCTTGTTGACCTTGGGTAAGTCACTTGACCTGAGCCTAATTTTTTTTCATTTGTTTAATTTCATAGCATCACTGGCCTTAGAGGCCGGTAGAAAAATCAACTAAACTCCTGATGTGGAAGAATTCTGTAGCCTTGACTGAGCTGTCCACAGAGCCCTACTCTTTCTTCTCCTTGTCACTCACATCAAAAGATTGGAGTCGCAGACAGACCTGCATGTGTTGCCACGTTCACTCTTCTCCTGTGTGATCTGGAAAGTCAATTAATGAGCACCTCCTAGAGCATCAGTTTCCTAATCTGTGGGATGGGAATGGGAGATTAAATTAAATACAAAGCTCCCGGATCAATAAATGTCACATGCAAAATGCTCAGTGAATGAAGTTCTTTTTTTTTTTTAAAGAGTTTACTTATTTATTTGAGTTTATTTATTTATTTGAGAGAGAGAGAGAGAATGAGAGATAGAGAGCCAGAGGGAGAAGCAGACTCCCTGCTGAGCAGAGAGCCCAATGTGGGACTCGATCCCGGGACTCCAGGATCATGACCTGAGCCGAAGGTAGTCGCTTAACCAACTGAGCCACCCAGGCACCCAGTGAATGAAGTCCTTAAAAGTACAGCTTTGTCGGGACACCTGGCTGGCTCAGTCAGAGGAGCATTTGACTCTGGATCTTAGAGTCGTGAGTTTGAGCCCCACGTTGGGTGTAGAGATTGCTTAAATAAACTAAAAAAAAAAAAAAGTATAGCTTTGTCTCTAGGTGATATAGTGGTTCATGGCTGGTCCTACAGTTCTAAATAGCAAATTAAGGAGGAAAAGCCCCAGGATGTTCTGGACACCCCCTCCCAGCCGTCCCTACCCCACTGCCCACAGCTGAGTCAATGCCAAACGCCCCCCAAGGACAAAAGGGAAGGAAACGAGGCCACACTCTATCTGCTCCCTGACTGGATCTATGTCCTCAACCGAGCTTATGGGTGATCTGTCTCACCTGGTCTCTGCAGCAGCCCTTCTCTTCAGAGGGTCATTCTAAAGGCCCGAGAGCCTGCACTCTCAGGAGAGGTTCCCTGGTGGGCATGGAAACCTTTGAATCTGGAATCCCTGACCCTGGTATTTCAATTCACTCTGCGTTGCAGGGCTGGGAGGCCCACGGGGCACTGCTCCCTCTTCCGAGAACATTCCCTTTCCAGCCAAGCAGGTCTAATTCAAACCCTATCAATTATCTCCGTAGACCGTATCAATGCCAATTTCCCGGTTTTGATACCGCACTATTGCTACGTGAGATGTTACCACTGGAGGAAACCGGGTGAAGGTACGGGGAACCTTCCTGTTGGTTTTCCCAAACTCCTTGTGAATCTATAATTTCAAAATAAAAATATCTCGTTAAAAATCTTTTCAAGTTCCTCTCCACCCTCCAGGCCACCCCTAAGTCTAGGCCCTTAATCACCTCCCTCTTGGATCCTAGCAACCGCCTCCTGATTTTCCTTCTGTCTTTGGTCTTGGCACACACTGGTCCATCCAGACGGTCTCATCCCCGCCTTGCCTCCTCGAAAGGAGATGGCTGGAACGGCGCCTTTAATAAACGATCATCAGTAAATTACTCAAGAGGAGAACTCGGCAGAGCCTGCAGACCTTGCCCTCGAGCTTCGCAACCAAACACACGAAGAGCCGAGCTCCGCCCCTCGGAACGCTCCAACGGCCAAGCCCCGCCCCTCGGGACGCTCCAACGGTCAGGCCCCGCCCCCAGGGTGCCCAACGGCCAGATCCCGCCCCTCGGGGCGCGCCAACGGCCAGACCCCGCCCCGCGTGCGTGCGCGGCCCCGCGGAGGCGTGCCGGCGCCCGCGTAGTCGGAGGCTGAGGTGGCAGCGCCCTGCCAACATGGAGCTGCCGCAGATGCCGGAGCTGATGGGCCTGTCGCTGTTGCTCGGGCTGCTGGCCCTGATGGCGACGGCGGCGGTGGCGCGGGGGTGGCTGCGCGCGGAGGAGGAGACGTGCAGCCGGTCCGCCGGTTAGTGGAGCGGGCACGGGGCGGGTAGGGACGACCCGCGGGGACCTCGCTCCCGGCCTCCCAGTGGTCCGACGTGCGGTTTGGGCCGGCAGGGGTGCCGCGGACTCCCGGGGCCTCAGTTTCTCCTGTGAAATGAACTTCGCTTCCGGAGACGAGGTTCCGGCTCGCGGTGCTGGTCGCGCCCGTAGTTACAAGCTGGGTCCCGCGCTGCCGCTTTCTCGGTGGCCGAGGCCAAGGAGCTGTCCGCTCAGCCTCCGCGTCTCCCCGGGGTTGCTGCGAGAGCGCTTGCAAACTCTCGAGCGCGCTACTTGCTCGTTATTTTAGGAAAGCGGGGAGGGGTGAGGGGAGACGGACACGCATTTGTAAGCACTCCCCCTAGTTCTCAATAGGTGGGGGGTGGGGTGGATTTTTCCTTTAGGGAGCACGCTGTCGCGTAAGGGAGAAGAACATCCGAAAATGTAAGTGAAAAATAGAGTGTAATGGGTTTCAGGGAGGAGGTCGGTACTAGCAACCGGAAACCCAAGGCCGGGAGTGGTCAGCCCTGCTTTTTGGGGGGAGGGGGGGCGGTCAAGGAAATCTTCACTGAGCAGGAAACACGTGGCGTGGGGTCTTGAAGGATGGATGTGTCAGTTTGGCCAAGGAGGGAGGAAGAAGCTCCGCTGGCAAAGGCAACGTGCATGAAGGCAGGCAGTTCTCAAAGGACATTTGATGGGACTCTGATGTGAGGGGTTGGAGAGCGCTGTCGGGACAAGGTTGGAGAGGGCAGATTGTGGTGGTCTCTGTACATGGGCCTCAGGAGTTGAATTGAGGGACATCTGCAGTAATCTAACACATGCCAGCTTTGCACCTGGCCTGATTCTCAGTGAAAATAGCTATTTTATGCAAAAGTGACTGGCACCATTCCCGGCACAGGGTTGGTGCTCAACAGGTGTTGACTACCTACCTCTCATCCCTGAGTTCTCTCTGGGAGTCCTCTGAGCCTTTAATGCTTGTGTTGGGTAATCATAGTTTCTCTTTAAGGACACCAAGGCCCAGAGCAATGAAGTAACTTGCCCAAGGCCAGGGCCACCAGAATTGGTTGTGCACGTTCTTCCCTACCTAGGGATGTCTGGCCAACACTCTGCACTTGGCTGGCTGTGCTGTGTACCCACTGAGCTGCGCCGACGCCTTTTCTAGTTTGCATTGAGGTGCTGTATGGACTAACAGCAAGCAGTCTCCTCAAGATCACTCAGTGGTAGAGACACAATCCAAACCCAGTCTGATTCCAAAGCCCCTGTTTTTGCCCACATCACTGTCTCTTCTCGAGCTTGGGACCCTATCTGGTCCTCTTTTGCTGCTCCACTCAATGCCTGGCCAATCATAGATGGTCAGAAATGCTTAGTGAGTGAATGGGTAGATGACACAGCCCCTCCTCATAGGCCAAAAAGCAAATGGATTGCCACTTGACAAGTCCTTGAGATCCAAGAAGCAGAAACAGCATCAACGAAATCGCAAGGAGAAGCCTCAACAGCACAACTTCACTCACCGCCTCCTGGCTGGGGCACTGAAGGTACATGGGTACCCATACTCAGCACACATATACAGAGACTCACCCCCCAGCCCCCCACAGACTTTCCTCGTTGGTATTCTGGGCACATGACAGACTCTTCTGCCTCTGACCAAGATCCAGTGGGGATGCCTCTTCCTAACCCTCCTTATCATACCCCATCAGCAGCTTGCCGTTAATCCAGGCAACAGACCCCATCTGCCCAAGGGGTCCCTGTTCACACTTCCTGCAACCCTTCCCTTAGAGCCACAGTGGGAACATATCTTGCATGGACTTTAGCAGCAATGGCAAGTACCTGGCCACCTGTGCAGATGATCGCACCGTCCGCATCTGGAGTACCAAGGACTTCCTGCAGCGGGAACATCGCAGCATGAGAGCCAATGTGGAGCTGGACCATGCCACCCTGGTGCGCTTCAGCCCTGACTGCAGGTGGGACTCAGCTTTGCCTGCAGAAGCCCAGCCCCAGGCTTATGTCCTTCCCATACCTGACTTGGAATAGCGAGGGGGGACCCTGGATCTCCGTGGGGGTGGCAGAAAGACTATCTGGACAGCTTGAGCACTGCCTGGGGGCCCCCTGGAGGTCCCTGCATTTTGCACAGCAGGGAAGCAGAGAGGGGAAGATGTGTTCCTACTTGGGAAGTACCAAACAAAGTCTGGCTCCAGATTCGTCTTGGAAGCTATTATAATGGTTTTCTAAACTCTATAGAGACACAGGAGGAGTCAAAGCTATGAGAGTCATATCTTCTGAAGTGTATTAAGAGGTTTTGAACCAAGGGGTTAAGTTGCAGGGCTGGACTGGGGCATGAAGGAAGACCATGATTTTCCTCAGAGCCTAGCATAGGAACTGGCACACATAGGCTTTCAAACGAACGAGTGCCTTGTCTGCTACCTGTCTCTAGAGCCTTCATCGTCTGGCTGGCCAATGGAGACACCCTTCGTGTCTTCAAGATGACCAAGCGAGAGGATGGGGGCTATACCTTCACAGCCAACCCAGAGGACTTTCCTAAAAAGCACAAGGCACCCATCATCAACATTGGCATTGCGGACACAGGTAAGAGGCATTCAGAGGGTGGAGCTTACCCTAAGACTAGAAGAAGTAGCACCAGTTATTTGCTGAATGAGTTAATGCTGCCTGAGAGTTATGCTAGCCCTACTGTGACAAAGGGGCTCTGGCTCTGGGCTCCCCTGGAGTTCCAGAGCCACAGCAGGTCCCCAAGGGAGGCAGGTAAGACCCGCAGTCTTGAGCAAAATCCTTATCTGTGGGGACCCTCGGCTTAGGAGGGGAGCATGGATATTTGAGGCAGCAGAGGCCATTGTAAGTGTCTCCTTAGAGAATGACACTTGGTCAGATTATTGACCTCAGTTCATGTCACCCTCCCCTCCCCTCTCAGGGAAGTTCATCATGACTGCTTCCAGTGACACGACTATCCTCATCTGGAATCTGAAAGGTCGTGTGCTGTCTACCATCAACACCAACCAGATGAACAATACCCATGCTGCTATCTCCCCCTGTAGCAGGTGAGGAAGGAGGGACTTGGCATCTGGGATGGGCAGAAGTTGTGACCAGGGACAGAGCAGAGAGCCAGCTTCAAATAGTGGAAAGAGCATACAATGTGGAATCAGGACGCCTAGATCCAAGTCCTTAGTCTCTCTTCATCTATAGTTTTTAAAAGGCTGGGGTGGGCGTATTATGTATCTCATAGCATTGTCATGAGGATGAACTGAGGTCCTCTGTATAAAAGCGGTTTTAAAAGGCACAGCGTTATTTACACGTACGATTATTAACTTTCTCAGGAATGAGGTTTAGTGGGTTGGCAGAAATGAGATGCCCTTAAAATTAAGTTGAAAAGAAACCTGGTTGTGTGGCAGGTTTGTGGCCTCGTGTGGCTTCACGCCAGATGTAAAAGTTTGGGAAGTCTGCTTTGGGAAAAAAAGCGACTTCCAGGAGGTTGTGCGAGCCTTCGAACTGAAGGGGCACTCTGCAGCCGTCCACTTCTTCGCTTTCTCCAATGACTCCCGCAGGTGAGTGCATCCTCTCTGATGGCTTATGGTGGCTCTCAGCCCCTCTTGGCAACCAAGGCCCTTTTGCCTATCTCTGTAGCAGCTCTGAAGTGGGTAGAGTGCCTGGCCTTCAGCAGGAAGTAGGCCCGGCAGTGCAGTTGGCTTCCTAGCTGGAGCCCCTCACGCCGTCCCAGTGCCCTCCCCGCCCAGGGTGTGTTGGGGCTAGAGCCGTGATTTTCCATGCTGCAGGATGGCCTCGGTCTCCAAGGATGGTACGTGGAAACTGTGGGACACAGATGTGGAATACAAGAAGCAGCAGGATCCCTACTTGCTGAGGACTGGCTGCTTTGAAGAGGCGAGCACCATGCCGTGCCGCCTGGCGCTCTCCCCTGACGCCCAGGTCTTGGCCTTGGCCAGTGGCAGCAGTATTCATCTCTACAACACCCGGCGGGGTGAGAAGGAAGAGTGCTTTGAGCAGGTCCATGGGGAGTGTATCGCTGACTTGTCCTTTGACATCACCGGTCGGCTTCTGGCCTCCTGTGGGGACCGGGCAGTGCGGCTTTTCCACAATACCCCTGGCCACCGGGCAGTGGTGGAGGAAATGCAGGGCCTCCTGAAGCGGGCCTCCAACGAGAGCACTCGGCAGAGGCTGCAGCAGCAGCTGACCCAGGCCCAGGAGGCGCTGAGAAGCCTGGGTGCGTTGAAGAAATGACTCTGGGAGGGTCTGGCAGGAAGGGTCTGGCATGCTGCTGCCACCACGGCTGCCACTTTTCTTCCCAGGTACTCCCCAGCTGGAAACCTTTTGAAAGGAGTATTCTGATTTTCTCAGTGGTGGCTCCTCTTTCTCTTTTCCCCATTGAAACTATTCTTGCCTACTTTGATCTCTCTCTCTCTCTTCTTGCCAGTTGTGACTCCTGGCCTTACTTGACCTCCCAGTCTAATAACCAAGGTGCTTCTCTTTCTCCTGGGCCCAAGGGATGGAATCTGTCTTCACCAGGCACGGAGGGAAAGAGTAAATTGAAGAGAGAGAGGACATGGCCTTGACCTTGTGGCAACACACCCTGTACCCAACGGAGTTTGTAATTGTGGAGGCAAAACCTAGGGGACACCTGAGTACTAACCAGCAGTCTTGGCAGGGTTGGGAGCCTGGGATACCATCCGGTGACAGAACTGTGGTGTGGTGTCAGGGAAGGGCTAGTCTTAATCCAGGTGAAGCTCCTAACTCCATCGAAAAGGAATTAAGGGATTCCATTCTGTGCCTCAGTTTTTTTATTTGTAAAATGGAGAATGATTTTCTCTCGATCTCTTTATTACAAAGGTATTGTGAAGGTATGCACGTATAAAGTCTCTAGATTTGGAAGAAAAGTGGAAAAGAGTAGTAATATATGTTGTCTGTCAGCCAATCTCACATATTAACTAACTACCGGGTAAAAGTGGGACTCAGTGTAGTTTGAAACTAAATTAAAAGGAAAGAAACACATCCCTTGGGAAGGCGAAGTTTCTGGAACTTGATCATACATGTTGTATCTGGCTCTGCTTTAAGTTGGGTAGAGGAATCATAGGATTCCAAGATTGGACTCCTGTCTTCAAGGTTATATCTTCTTTGAGGTGATCTCTTTTCAGTTTGTCAGATATTTCAGTGCCTGCTCTGTGCCCAGCGCAGCACTAGGCACTGGAGATAAATATGAACAAGACATGATCGCTGCCAATCAAAGATGGCTAGTGGGCGAGAGGGACATGTGGCTGTTAAGTGCTTTTTCCTAGGTAATTCATAGCCATAGACGGCTGCTGTAAAAGTCAAGGCAAGAGAGAGGATTGAATCAGGACGTGGGCAATGGATTTGAAGTTGAAGGGATGGAGTTGGTAAGAGATGGCATTTCGAAGTTCAAATGTTTTGAATTTGAGACTGCTTTGATGTGGGAGAAGGGAAATGAGGATCCAGGGAGACTTGAATCTTGGCAAAATGTATTCCTCTGAAATCACATTCTTGCTGTCTCTCTCCCTAAAATCGGGGCCTCCCCTAGACATCCCCAACTCATAAGTGTTTGAGCAAGGCACAACCTTGAAGTTACCCCTAATGATTCCCTTTTTCATTAATCCCTCCGCCTGCTCCTACTCCTACCATCCACTCCATCAGAAAATTCTTTTGGTTAGACTCCAGATTATATCCTGAATCTGCTTCTCTCCATCTTTTCTGTTACCATCCTGGTCCGAGCCACTGTCACCTACTGGACTGTGATAAGGTAGCTTCCTCACTGATCCCCTGCTTCCTCTCTTGCCTCGTTAAGTCGCTCTCTACATAGCAGAGTGATTTTTGAAAATGTAAACCAGATCACATTGTTCCCAAGCAAAAACCTTCCAGAGGCTTCCCATCGCACTTGGAATAAAATCCAAAATTCTCATCATGGCCTACAAGGTCCTGTGTAATCTGGCTTCTTCCTTCCTCTGTGATCTCGTTACCACTCTCCCAACCATCCCAACCTTGCTGTTACAGATTTGACCAAGCCAAGTTCTGTCCTGCCTCGGGCGGAAGCTGTGCTTTGCCTTTCCCTCTGCTTGGAAGCCGTTTTCTTTTCTGTTGGCCGACTTGTCATGCTTGTCGTTTATTCAGGTCTCCCTTTCAATTACACTTCAGAGAGACCCTCCCTGACCACCCAGTCTGAAGTAGCCCTTTCCACCAATCATACCACACCTGTCACATTAGCTTACTTTATTTATTTTGTAGTTACCTAATGCTATCTGAAATCATCTTGTTTGGATACATGTTTGCTCCAGGGGTTTAGGCTGAAACGCTTATGGATGTCAAGGGGAAAATGCAAATGCATGCATGGGGCCACAGTGGCCTGGGTGTAAGATGGTGGAAAATGGGAAACTGAAGTGATCTCTAGAGGGCAGGTGTCCGGGGTGAGGGGTAGGGGTGGCTGCTACTTTTTATTCAGGAATCCAGCAGAAGTTGCTTGTTTGAGAGAAGCTAGAAGTTCGTGATTTATTATAAAAACAAAAATTAAACACTGTGTGGACCAAACAGAACACTAACGTGGGCCAGATGCCGCCCACCAATCTCTCATTGGCAGCTTCTGGATTGTTCATTAAGCTACAGAAATGTGAGCTCCACAAGGGCAGAATCTTTGTCTTATTTGCTCTGTATTCCCAAGCACAATACCAGGGACAGAGTAAGCACTCAATAAATATTGAAGTCAAATCGGGGGGCAGTTAGCAGACATTTTGGTACCCTCTGTGTGCATTGTCCCACTCAATTTCCATTGTGGTTTTATGCTCTTGATAACAGACTTCTGGTTAATAACGCTATGCACATGGGTCCCGGTGAACAGTTGCTTTCAGGTTGTCAGAAGAATGAGGCTAAAACATTTCTTTGCATATCTGTTTGGCTCTGGCTTTCCTCTCACTGTGTATCCGGGAGGCAAGTGACCGTAGTATGTTGAGTTACTGAAGTCAGAAGTCTTTGGCTTCAGGTTTGGCTGGGTCACTTAACTGACTTGAGACCTTGAGCAGATAGATCACTGGGCGTCTGAGTTTGTTTCCTCCTCTGTAAAATGGGAATAAATCCTGTTCTGAGTGGGCTGTGAGCGTCTAATGAGACGAGTGAAGCCCTACAAAAAAGTCGTCACAGACTTCCTGAGGACACCGCTCGCTCCTCTCACTAATGTCAAGGCTGCTTCACTTGTCCGCATGGAGAAGGTATCTGGATATTAACCTACAGCAGAGGCCACCGCGTGTTTTTGATTAAAACTCTGTGTGTTGTGAAAGCAGCATTAACATTTTAGTATTACTATCTCAACTTATGTGAGTTTGCAATTTTTCAAAATAAAAAGCCGGGAATATATTTTCAATGGTGGTATATATAGCCTATTTTCATCAGTCATCAAAAATAGAACACAATACTTAAACCACAAAAGTGCACATTTAAAGCCCTATTGATAGTCTTGGTCAATTTCCACCAAAATAAGAAGGCTCCTCCTATTCAAGATTGTCCTGTAATTGGAGATGACAGGTGGTGAGTAGGAAACACATACTGTCGTGATGAGTCATCAGTGATAGTAGGTTATCTCAGTGTTAGATGGACTGAACATTGCCCCAGATTGGCCACAGATCTAGAAACGTAATAATTTGGGGGTTCATGTACTTCCCTACACAATTGCAGAGGCGTCTTCTTGGCGAGCATGGCGTGGTTTCACACCCAGCTCTTCAGGCAGAAGTGTGCTGATGGGCACGGGTTGGCACTGCAGGATTGGTGACAGCAACCAAAGGCATGATTCCTACACACAATTCCAGTGTGTCTTCTAAGCTTGTCAGGGCATTTCCAACTCTCCATTTCAGGGCGCTTGGAAAATGAGCGTGGTTTCCATTTTCCACACGCACACCCGATTTGAGTCCATCTGTGTTTTCTCGATCACATTAGTAGTGGCTAACTTGAGTGCTAAGCATTTAATCCCCACCAACCCACTATTGTTTTTGCCTCAGCTGTTCTCCTAGCAACTGCATCTTAATTTTTATTTGGTGAACTACACTTCCCTGACTCTTAATCCACAATCCACATGACTTCAAGGAGAGAGACTGAGACCCTTCATGGTGGGCATATAACCGATCATCAGGTCCCTGGACTTTGCCAGATCTTTAGAAAAGTGATAGCTTTAATTTTCTGTGGGGATTGCTTAGTAAATAGGATGTAGGCTTATTACAACGGGTAGTCCTGCTCAAGAAGGAAGCTAACACAGGGAAGCAGAGACCACGTGGTGAGGATGCTGGTGAGGCTGCCGGATCCAGACACACCTGAGGTGTTTGCTACTGGACTTGTCAGTTATAAGAACCAATAAATACCTATTTATGATGAAGTCTGTTTGAATTGGGGTATTCTTAACTTGCAACTGAAAGGCCTTAACATCAGTATTATTAGAGAGTTCAAGTAAATTGCCCAAGGCACATAATAAACAGCGCACACCAATATTTCAGTTGAGGCCTATCTGGTACATACCTTTAGCCATCAGGCACATCCCCAACATTTGTAAAAGCCAGAGGCAGGAATGCAAATGGAGACCCATGTGCCATGTCTTAATATTTCGAAATTTAAAAAAATCAAGCTGAGCCCACATACGTTCCATCCTCCTAACCGCGACATAACATTCTGGAAGACCAAGTTTGAATTGAGAATTCTCAGAGTCAGGTCTGTGCCACAATGTGGTGTCATAGCTGGCCATCCTGTGGTCTAGGCCTCTTCTCTTCCCACCTGGTTCTTTCCCGTATTACAAGGGAAACACCAGCACACACCTCCCAAGTGTCATCATACTGCAAACCACCACTTCTTGGCCACCCAGCACTTGGGCCTTAGGGTGTGCACCATGGGGCAGCACCGTCTTTGTGAAAATGGCCCCAGGGGAAAGGCTCCTCCTGTAGGCCTCGGAGGCAGGCTTGGGTCATTTTGGACAGGGATTCCAAGGTCTAAGATGGGTACCTGAACTTGTCTGGTGGGTGAGAGGGGGGACACAAGCGCTGGGTGTCCCCATTTCCCTGGTCCTGCAAATCCTGTGCCTCATGGAGAGGGACATAGCCAGAGGAGGCCAGGACAGTTCCCCTAGAAGGAGTCCTCTTGGCCCACATCTAACATTTACCTTGTTAACCACACTTGATTTTTTGCCTGCAGTTTCAAGTTCACTAACCTAAGCCAAGCTGCCCTTAATCAGAAATGAAATACAGTGAGTATTGTGAGTTCGCAGGGTTCAGCCAAGTATGTCTGAGAGTTCTAGAAGTTCTGGATATGTGGAAACAGCCCTGCATATTAACCGATTTCTGGAGCCTGATTACTGCCTCTCTAGTCTCACCTTTAAGTTCTTCCAAGTATCCCACAGAATAGCTGCAGCCAGGGCACCCGTATGGAAGCCATTCACACCTTGATCATTCCTCCATCACGCCCCAGGATCAAGCTGACAGGTTAGGAAGGAAGCCATGGGGTGGGGGTGGGGGGCTGAGCACCCCAGCTTTCTCTAATAAACTGATAGAGCTTTCCCTCTTGTGGTGGATGCTCTCTTTGCAACACGGGCGCTCAGCTTCTGGCTCAAATGTCTCACACTGCTCACCGGCTGGCAGTGTAGGCTAGCTAATCGTAGGATTTTCTGTTTGCTTTTGTAAAAATCTCAGTTAAATGTATCAAATATCCTGTTTTAACCTCAAATCCCTTCCCTTTAAATTTTTTGTCTCCCTCTGGTGGCACCTTTCTGCCACAGCTGAAACAGGTCTGAGAAAACACTCCCAGAGTACAACTTCTAGTCCAGGACACCATTCTCCGTGCTGTGCAGGTAACAGCTCAGCCCACCCTCCCGGCAGCTCTGAGATACATACTCTTAGAACTATCACAAGCATTGCCAAAGTCGCCGAGGAGGCGTGTGGCTGAGCTGGGATTCAAATCCAGGGAGTCTGTGTCCAGAGCTCATGTTCTTGGTTCCCAGCCTGTGGCAGGTGTCAGAATCACCCAGGACCTGGGTACAAATACCAAGTCCCAGGTCCTCCTGCTTCGGCAGGCCCGGGCCTCTGTGTTCCTTATTAGCTCTCAGGGGATGCAGGTACCAAAGCATGGGAGGCACTGCACTGTGCTCTTCTGCCTTGATTTGGAATATTCATACGCTACTGCCTTGCCTGAGGGCGTGTCCTGTTCCTACAGGGGAGTGTTTCCTTGTGCTCAGTGGGAGGAGAAGCTGCAGTTCACCAGCTGGGGGCCCTCTCAGGCTATCCCATTCCCTGCTTGGCCCCAGATACCCTCCAGCTTGTGTCCCTGGCCATAAGGGCGTGACCTCAACTCCCTCAGGAGTTCCTCTTTGGAGACTGCTTTCCTCCCATTACCTCAGATTAACTTAATGGCCCCTCATTGTTCTCACAAGCCTTAATGTTCCTCTGTCTCTGCCCCACAGTGTGTTGCCGTGTGCTCGGATTATCTGGAGGACAGGAGGTCATTTCTGCTTGATTTCGACATTTTAACAGCCTAACAGAGAGCCAGTCAGCTGAATAAAAGAACTTCCACCTCCCTGGAACCTTCCCCCATTGCCCCCAGGGCCTCAGGATCCCTGAGCAAGTTCTGGACACCTCCCTTCAGAAGGGGCCTTTCCCACACCTGACCCAGGGATAGGGGAGTCTTTAACCAGCCTGTGGTTTGGGGCACCACATCCTTCAAACTCCCAGAACCTGAGGCTGCTTTAAGAGGAGGGTCAGGAATAGAGCTTGGCTTGTAGGTTTTTAAACCACACAATACATGGAGAGATTCAGATGGAGTTCTCATCCTAATGGCTTGCTGGGACATCCCAGGGACTTCTCCCTTCCTTCTCTTCACCTCAGCCCCACACTCATTCTGACCACTTTCCCAAGGGCAGTGGGCTCTTCCCACTGCCTGGACCCAGCCTCTCAGGAGCATCCAGGAAACCAGCTCCTTCGTCTGCCATCTTTCTGTTTTTACTTGAAGCCCAGGGTAGCGTCTTGTGCATGGATATGTTTTCCTAATTATAGCTACTCCAGTAAAGGCATGTTTCAGAGGCTAATATCTTGGGAAAAGGTGCATAAAGTTTTAGTCCTGTGTTGTCTGTTTTCCACAATGAATGTGTACTTTTACGAAACCAGTAAGACTATCACATGATACGTTGCAAGTATTCACAGTAACCTCTTATCACATAATTTTCTCATTCATTTCACAGCAGCTCTTGTGAGGTAACAATGATTCTCCATATTGCAGATGGATAAACAGGTTTGTTGAGGTTAAGCAAGTAAGAATTCAGCCCTGGCACAGAGTCCAGAGTTCAAGCTTGTTCTTGGTGTCACCCCCCACTGCCTCCGACCTTGCCATCCAGAGGCAAGTTCCTTGAGGGCAGGGACTTTGTAGTCTCAGGAGCCTAATTTGCACCTCCTATTCTTAGCATACCCATGCAAGTGAGCACACAGTTGGCATTTCATATTTGTTGGCTAACATGATGATGAACACATATACTTAGTGCTCAACAGTTAATGAGCCCACTATGGCCTCCACTTACCCCCTCCACCGTGCAACCATGCTGCCAATAGAAATCATTCCATTACTTTCTGGGATGACAACACCTTATGAGTTCACACCCGAGGGTGATTCTCCCAGGGGCTAATTGCTCCCGAGTGAGGAGATCATTAAAGCTCCAGCACCAGAAGGCCAAACCCTGGGGTTCAGAGGCTGTGGCCACCCTGAGCACTTTCCAGGATTTCAGTTCACCTCCATCACATCCAGACAATTTTAATTCAAAGCACTAGCTACCAAAAAGACTTCATGTCCATGCAGTAAGGGTGGGGTGGGGGTAGCTGCAATCCACCAGACCCCCCAGACATGCTTGCTCTGCTGGTCTCTCTTAAGACTTTTAGGATCCCTGGAACCCACAACCATTGTCTCCTCCTGTATTGATCCTGAATCAGCTGATGGGAGCAAGGGTGGGGGGCCCATTCCTCATTGGCGACAAAACATCCAGGGGCCAGGGCGATGTGGCAAGATTCAGCAACCCACCCCCTGGTGCTTGCTGGATAGCATCATCACTTTTCCCTTGTCCACTAAAAGGTCCCCCTTCCCATTTGCTATCGCGTCTTTCAGATCCAGTGATTGATCAGATCTTAAATGAGTGCTAAGTCCTCTGGTGCCTTGGCATTTACAGGTTGTAAAATGATGGTCAGGGTGGGACAGGGACATGTACACAAACCATCCCCATACAGCCAGTGGGTTTGATGGCCTGGACAAGTTTCAGTGGTTTGGGGAGCCCAGAGGCAGGAGAAATAGCAACCATCGCAACAAACCCAAAGTGAAAGAGAAATTGATGATGTTGTTGGTGATGATGACTGGTCTCTGGTCCCCGGGTGGGTATGTCACCCTAACAAGGTGGCCTCTGCCCTCCCTACCTCTAAGGCTTTTGTGATCTGGAGCCCAGGGCAAACTTGAATTTCTTGGTGTGCCACACCCCAAATTTGTCCACTGTGGCAGAGGTCATTGTTGCTCACCAACATCCATGCTTCTCCTCTTTCTCCTACAAGGTTAGACAATTACCAGGCTCTCCTGCAACTAGGTGACATCATGTGATGAGTCCTGGAATGTGTGCAGAAGCCATCTGTTGAGTCTGGGACTACCTCTAGAAACCGTCCTGTGGTTCTCTGTGTTCTCTCTTCTCTTTCCTGCTAAATGTGAGCAGAGGATTCACTGGAGACCGCTGAGGCTGTAGATGGATGAGTCAGCAGATGAAGGGAACCTGGGCCCCTGAACGACTCTGTGGAGTGGGTCCTCCCTGACCCCAGCATTGTATTGTGACCATGAACAAGAAATAAATTCATGTTGTTTTAAAAGGCATGGAATGAGTGGGGTTGTTTGTTACAGCAGCTAGCCTATCCTGATTAATACACTTAGGACAGAATGAAAAGGGCCTTCCTTTTATGGGGGAAAGAAAGAAGTTGGGAGGGGCTGTTGACAAGAGTTTAGAGTGGTGACAGGTTTTCAGTGGCTGAGTACATTGGCTGCTGGGCTGGGCAAGGAGACTTCCTGCTGGCTCTGTGAAGTAAGCTTCCTGCTGTTTGGGGGCTGAGTGGCTGTGCACTGAGGGCTTTCCAACTCCATTTTTAATGATGTTGCCTTTATTTATTTTCACACTGCTTTATTATAAAGACAGCTGCCAGCATCTCTCTTCAGTTACCCCTGTGTTGTGATTTATAATAAGACATAATATAGTTTGGTCTTCAATCATGGCCCTGGCTCACAGCTCCCATAACCCTTGTCATTTTCTTTTTATTTTTTAAAGATTTTATTTATTTGACAGAGTGAGACACAGCAAGAGAGGGAACACAAGCAGGGGGAGTGGGAGAGGGAAAAACAGGCTTCCCACTGAGCAGGGAGCCTGATGTAGGGCTCGATCCCAGGACCCTGGGATCATGACCGGAGCCTAAGGCAGACGCCTAATGACTGAGCCACCCAGGCGCCCCTGGCGTTGTCATTTTCTAAGTGTTTAGAGCACAAGGGACAACTTTTGCTATAATATTTGGGGTTTGTTTGCGGGCTCCAGAAATAGCTCCATTATTCGTTATGCCACTGCCCTGCCTGAGGGAGTGTCCTATTTCTACAGGTGAGTGGAAGTAGCCACAGAAGCTGGAGAAGAAGAGAGAACAGGCTTACTTGGGGAGGCAGATGGAAAACTGGGCAGACCCAGTGTCAAGAAGATGGTAAGGAGAGCTCCCTCCCTCCCTTCTTCTTCTCTCATTTCTTCCATACATAGTTGCTGAGCCCTCTATGGACTGTGTGTGGAGTATAGGAGATGTTTCCTTCCTGTGGCTGTGGGGAGAAGGCAGGCCCGGCTGAACATGCTTAGGTTACAAATCTCAAAAGATATTTTTGTTTGCTGTTTTTTTTACATAAGGAGAATATTTAAATAAATAATGAAACCAGGTCAGAGCCCCCTATTCAAACTTGGATATTCTTTCTGAGCTGGGGCCCAATCTGACTTCCAAACTGGGCTACACATAAGATCATCTTTTAAAAAATATATCCCCCACCCCCTCAGCAAAAAACAAAGGGGCGCCTGGGTGGCTCAGTCAGTTAAGTGTCTTGATCTCATGTCCTGAGATAGAGCCCCTCACTGGGCTCCTGGCTCAGTGGGAGGGCATGCTTCTCCCTCACCCTCTGCCACTCCCCCTGCTTGTGTTCTCTGTCAGCTCTCTCTCTCTCTCAAATAAATAAATAAAATCTTAAAAAAAAAAAACCACAAATACCATTCAGGAGGGCTCCACCCTCATGACCTAAGCACCTCCCAAAGACCCCGCCTTCCAACCCCACGGTGTGGGTGGTGAAGAGGTGAAGGATTTCAACATAAGAATTTTGCAGGGACACATGCCAAAGGGGATTTAAAGTAGCAGATGGCATTAAACTGGCTTTAAAATAGGGAGATTATCCTGGATTATCTGGGTGGGCTCAATGTAATCACAAGGATATAACCTCCTTAAAAGTGGAAGAATGAGGCAGAAGAAGGAATCAGAGATGCCGGCGTGAAGAGGACTCAACCTGATGTTGCTGGGTTTGAAGATGGAGGAAGGAGCCATGAACCAAGGAAAGGGGGCAGCCTCCAGAAGCTGGAAAAAGAAAGGAAACAGATTCTCCTTTAGAGCCTCTAGGAAGGAATGTACTTTGATCTTAGCCCAGTGTCAGACTCCTGATCTACAAGACAGTGCTCTTGTGGGACTTTAACACCCCACTTACCTCAATGGACAGATCATTCAAACAGAAAATCAACAAGGAAACAGTGGCTTTGAATGACACATCGGACCAGTTGGATTTAACACATATATTCAGAACATTCCACCTTAAAACAGCAGAATGTACCTTCTTTTCTAGTGCACATGAAACATTCTGCAGAAAAGATCACATATGAGGCCACAAAACAAGTCTCAACGAATTCTAAAATATCAACAAAGTCATTCCATGAATCTTTTCTGACCACAATGCTAGGAAACCGGACATCAATCATAAGAAAAAATCTGGGAAGAGCATAAATACATGGAGTTTAAATAATACGCTACAAAACAGTGAATGGGTAAACCAAGAAATTGAAGAGGAAATAAAAAAAATACATGGAGGGGCGCCTGGGTGGCTCAGTCATTAGCTGTCTGCCTTCGGCTCAGGTTATGGTCCCAGGGTCCTGGGATTGAGCCCCACATCGGGCTCCCTGCTCTGTGGGAAGCCTGCTTTTCCCTCTCCCCCTCCCCTGCTTGTGTTCCCTCTCTCGCTGTGTCTCTCTCTGTCAAATAAATAAAATCTAAAAAAAAAAA